GCATGACGTATTGTGTGTTGTTTATCTGAGAGTTAAAGTCGATTTATGGGAAGCGTCAGGAAGTGAGAGACTTGGACCCTCAGCTCGTTGCTTATAGTTGCGGGTCGAACCGAAATTACCGGTTGATGGGACGTTCGCAGTGCGGATGTCGAGCTCGGTACGGGGGTACTGACGCTAAGCACTGGCGATCGTGTGTGGTGCGGTGGTGGTTGAAGACAAGATTAAGTTGTGTATAAGTCAAAGCACGTGTCAGAGTAGGCGAATGTTGTTGTGTTCCTTTGGGACTTGAATGATTCGATTAAGTTCAGTGATTGTCTCCATGTCTCAATGGAAGTGGAAGCAGGCTGCGTCACTCCTTTCGAGGGCGCTGGGCGGTTGCCTGTGGGTCAGTGCGCTACGGGCAGCGGGGTGCCTTGAATGCCAAGCCTGCAGCATGAGAGCTTGCCTGGGGCGGGCAGTTTCCACTTTGCTTCAGTGAGGCGCAGCCACTTCATACACCAGCCACACTGGTTGGCTTTGATGATTCCATGTGGAAGCTGCGAATTGTTTGAAACTCTCACTCGGAACTTGTCTTTGTCTTCGCCCTACCTTACTCGTGGGCCAACAAGTTTATGGTACTCGATCCTCTCAACCCATTAAAGGGGAGTATGAAGAGACTCACAAAGTTGCCCGTGCTTCCTGCTGTCTTCGTCTTTGATACCTTGGACAATCCGCTTAGGTTGTTACTGATTCTTTGACAGCTTCGTACAACCAGCTAAAAGCGCAGGTATGGGACAAGCCGCTTACTATGAACTAACCTGTCGGCTGAAACAAAGGTTCAACACTCAACCCAAACATCTCTCCGATCAAGGCCAAAGAGTCTTCCCAGGTGACGAGCCCTTGAAATAAGCTTTTCAGAAGCCGTCGTGGGAGAAGATCTTACGTAAAGACATGGCATACGGCTCGGGAGGACGTGCAAGACACCATATCGGCTTTTCACTCCCAGATCTCCCGGACATGCTGTTTGACATGCTCTGGCTATGAGTATCTCCCCCTTAGTTGCATATGTCAGCATCGCTACCTTACAAGTCATAACAGCCGAGGCCAAGACCGGATGAACCGTTATCCACGGTACTCTTTTAAGCTAGCGCACAACGCCGCCGCGGCACACTTCAGAGGCTAAGAGGCCAAGAACACCCTATGCACCGATCTGCACCAGCGTGTCTAGCTCTTCAAGCTCTCTTTTGACCGCAGCACAAACCAGAGAGAGCCAGACACTCCGGCCTCACTTCCCCAAATCCAATCACCACGCTTTTCTTGACCCCTTTTTCCGATACTACCGTCTACGTGGTTGTTCCCCCAAGCCTCCGCATCTCCCAGGCTTTCTCCAGGCCCTCTCCTCACCGCACACACGCCTGTTCTCCTGCCTCCACCTGCTCTCCGTCGGTGACTCAGGGCGGTGGATATCTCCAACTCTCCCCACGGGGTCAAGCGGGTCACGACTCGACAAGTCCCATCGGTATCCCGGTGTGTCTGCTTCACCAAATCCACCCGAGATCCATACCACTGCAAGGTCTAGGCCTTCAGTCCATCTACTACCGCTATGCTTCTCCGTCCCTACAACCTCAGGGCCACCACGGTCAACCTCACCACGGCCAGAGTCCCCGTCTCTCAGAGTCATCCGATCGGCGGCCTTATCTACTCCCGCCAGCAATATGCTCGACCGGCGTCTGCGCCGTTTGCCAAGCGCTCCCTGGTGACACTGAGTGCCGGCACACGCCTGGCCAAGCTCACCCAAGAGCACTCAGCCGCGTCGATCGCTGCTGTCCGTATGCTGAGCACCACTAGCTCCCTCTCAAAGGTGAAACAGGTGCCCAAGTTGTCGCAATCCGCCCACCAAAAGAGTCCCAAGGCATCCCAGTCGCAGAATCACCCATCATCTTCGTCATCGTCATCGTCTTTTGCGTCTGCTTCCAAGTTCACGGCCCCGCAGAAACCACCGAAACACCAGCAGCGGCTAGCCACCGAGACCGCACCCCTCCATGCCCAGGGGCAGCATGCTTCTCCCGATCTTGACCGTGTCACCAAAGAGTTTCTGGCCAAGGAGGGCATCCCGACGGAGCACATGACCCTCACCGCTCTGCGCGCCTTGGTCCAACCAACCGTTCCGTTAGCGGCTTCTGTCTCTGCTTCTCATGACAGCCACTCCCCCGCAGTCGGCGCAGAGGTCGATCAAACCAGTGCTTTTGATCTGCTTGGTCTGGATGCTAACGGCCGGAACGCCCGGGGCACGACGGCTGCTCCTGAGGGACTTGAGCCTCCTCCCTACTTGAGCTTCAGCAAGGATGCCGCTGACGAGATCTCAGATGCGGCATATGCAATCATCTCGCATCCTCCTGTTATCATCACCCCGCTGCTGCTCAAAGAGTATGTTGCTCTCCAGGCCTCCCTTGGCAAGCCCAAGACACTGCCGCACGTTTTGGGCCTCTACGCGTACAAGGCTGTCCCAAGCTTAGCTCTGGACATAAGCTGACCTACAAAGAGCGGAACCCTGACATGCCAAAGAACGCGGTTGATCCCGAGGTTGCTGAGATGGCACTGGACGCAGCACTTGATGCCAAGGACCTTGATGCTGCTGTTGGCATCGTCGAAAATACGTACTCTACCAAGGCTTACACCCGCGACAAGTTGTTGAGAAAGGCACTTATACCCATGACGGGCTTGGGACTCACTCCTGTCGCTGCCTATGCTCTCGCCAAGAACTACGGTACATGGCAAGATTCAATGGAGACTGTTTTGGCAACCAACGTAGCCTTCTTTGGCATGCTGGCCTACGTTGGCTTCACTGCGACCATGGGCATCGTGGCCATGACTACGGCAAACGACCAGATGAAGCGGGTGACCTGGGGCCCGGGAATTCCGCTGCGGGAGCGATGGATCCGAGAGGATGAACGGGCCGCTTATGACAAGATTGCTTGCTCATTCGGATTCGGGGAAGTGCTTCGTTACGGAGAGGAGGAGGGAGAGGAGTTTGACGTGCTTCGTGAATATATTTTGAGCAAGGGCATGATTCTCGATGCCGTCAACCTGATGCCAGGCATGCAATAAATTGCCGTCTTTGGTTGACTTACGGCACCTATCTACCAAGAGCCCGAAAACGCCATCGATTTCACACGCCCCCCGTGCGGACGGGAAGAGCCTTGGCACCAAGTACCGGTGGCTGTGAAGAGTTGGGGGACTGAGTTGTCGATATGACCCCGGCCTTCCTAGCTTAACCTCCTTACCGCTTGGTCACCAAGTACCTTAGTTGCCAAGCTAGCGATCGGCGGGAAGACTTGCATATTTACGAGCCTTCGAGGTTGCCAAGTTCGTCCGAGAAGTCCCGAAAGATGAAAAGATATCAAATCAATCTAGGATGCCTACCGCCCAGAATGGAAACCACACTAGCTCACCTCCCTTTCCGTGCAGAGGCTCTTCTGCGGTATTCCGTTATCTTGATGTAAGTACCGGTGATACAGCTAGGGTGTTAAAGTGGAAAAAAGGAAACAATCATCTACCGGCTCGGAAATCTCTCAATCTTTCTTTCATATTGTACCGTGTTCTTTAAACGTTGTTGCATAGACTTCGACCCAACGAACCGGCCGCAGTCGGTCCCACGTTTCCGTTCCCACCTCGAACTAGGCGCTGTTTCTCCATGCATCCCTAGTCAACAAACTCGATCACTACTCCAGTGGGTTGAGACTCCCCCGACTCAAATCTGATCTGTGGCTTTGCCTAGTCTAGTCGATATCTCCTAGTCGACTTATTCCACCCCCTACGTCACCCCGGCTGCTTGGCATTCATTCTCTACTCCTTGTACTCCTTATCCCTCCTCCCGATTCCCCTATATATACAATGCCCATTTCCCCATCTGGTCCTAATCGGGATTGTTTGATCAATAAGCTCTGGAGCATTCACATATATCCTAGAAATCATTCACTTCTATCTCATCTGATCTTTACGTAAAAGATTCACATCTCATCTTCTTCACAAGTCAAACTACATCCATACACTCTTCAGCCTAGCATGGCCGGTGGATTTGAACCTGTCGATCCTGAGCAATGTTTACATTATGCCGAATTCGCCTCACACCTCGACCGGAGGGCCTTTGATGGGATTTACTGGTCCCTCTTCGTGTTTGTCATCCTCATGCTCTTCCTCGCCTCATGGAAGTATTCAGGGTATGTTATCTTTCCCAATCATGCCTGCTTTTCTCTCCAATATTCACTAACATGTTTTCCCAGGACCTGCGAGGCGCTGGCTGATTCCAGACCTGGGACCAAGCATTACCGGCACAAGATGCAGCGATGCCTTCTCATCTGCTCCGGTTACTTTGTGGTTTCCATCATTGCCGTGGTCATGGAGGTCTATGCCCTTTTGGCTTTGCAATTCTGTGACGGCGAAGACCTCATGTCGCTTTACTGGTCTACTTGGACGATGCTGCAGGTCGGCTCGCTCATAGCCATCTTGGGCATTATCTTGGCCGCTTTCAATGCCATCCGCGGTAACAAGAACCCGTAAGTCTCTCTCTCTTTTCCTCCTGTCGTCACAGAACAGGTTGTACTAACATTATTCTTTTGTAGACCATGGGCACTAGCTCTCGGCACTCCCGTTCTTGTTGTCGCCGGCATTGGCCACGCCTTCCACGGTGCCATGCGCAAACGTGTAAAGCGCGTTCGATCCAGGACCAGGAGCTTGCGATCCCGAAGCCGGGGCAGATCAGAGCGTAGCCTCAAGGGAATCTCGACCAACGACTTGCCCATGAGCAGGGAGTACGTATTTTATCCCCTATTTGCCTCTTCACCTTACATGTCACTTCTCATCCCCCCAGCACGGCACAAAACTTGAAACCAGCCGCAAGAGACTAACGCAGAACGAAATTTCCAGGGATACAATCAGGGTAGAAGAAAGTCCCAGCGACGATAACAACGAATACCGCGCCAAATTGCTCGGCTACACGCCCGAGGGCGCGCCGATCCTCCAGTTTTTCGATGACCCCGGCAGCAGCATCGATCCCGAGCGCGGCACCATTCTGGGCAAGAACACCAACGGACAGATCATTGTGGCCTTCAGGAGGTCCATGATCATGGTTTCGGACAGCAAGATCCATCGCAACAGCAGCAGCAGTGGTAGTAACATGCCAACCCCGATGAACGAAAAGGCGGCGGCTTCCTCACCGTCAGCCCTGCTCGTCCCCCAGGCACCCCCTTCACCAAGGCCGCCACCGGTCGTCAGGATCGCTCCTCCGCGCCGGCCCTCTGACGAGGAATTCGAGGAGCAAGAGGTGCATGTCTCCCCTGTTTGAGACGGGGATGTCTTGAATTTTTTGAATTTTTTTTTGGAACGCCACCCACTTTCCCGCTTCCCTTCCCTTACCTGTTTTCCTCCTTTATCCTTTTTTTACCTCCTTTTCTTATCTCTTAGCTTTTCACTTTTACCGTGTTTGTTGTTTGTGTGTCTTTTTTGATTTTATTTTGATTTTTTTTCCACATGGGTTTCAGGCATTCATTCATGATCGACAGCGGCGGCGGCGCGGCGTTGGGCTGGGCAACAAGCAAGCGAGCAAGCAAGCAAGCGGGCACACAAACAAGCGGGATAAGGGCGGCACAAGCAAAATTATGACTTTCCACGATACTTTTTTTTCTTTTTTTTCTCTGGTCTTCCTCTTTTTGGCATAGCGTTTGGTATTATACAAAATCAATCTGGGTCAACAAAACATACACTCATACATACGGTACCTCTATCTATTGTGACTGAGACACAAGGGGTGGTGGCGCTTATTTACACACATTACTTTTTCGGGATTTCCGTTCTCTCTCTTCTTTTAAAATTTTTTTTTCGCGGTTTCGGCGTTTACTTGATTTGGAATTACCATACCCAGATCTCCATGTTCTGTGAGATGGCATATCAGATTGCATTGCTGCCTTTCTTCCCGTGGCTGTTTCGCTTGCGTTATCTAGATACCCCTGACTGACGGGTACGCGAGGAGCTGAGGGTGAAAGGGAAAAGATGGGTGGGTGGGTGTGAGGGAAATGAGATTGTTATGTAGATGGGTAGGTATGCCAGATCCATCTATGCATGCTATGCATGTCAGGCTTATCAATTCACACAAACCTTGTTCAAACATACATCTACAATATCGACTTTGAGTTCTCCCTCCTACGGAGCTTGGCAATCAATATATGCATGTTGAGGGCTTTTATTCATACCTTGTTAAACTGTGCATTGTATCCGACCTCGGCTTTTTCACATCTTGGCTTTTGCCATATTATTTTCTACGTGCCTCATAACCACAACCACAGATTAATATGGCATGTCTTGTTTTCAGTCCTCCTCCTCGGACCAAAAGGTCTTGACGGTTTTCATTACTGATTACTTTACACAAATATCTCGACATTAACAAGATAAGTAACAAGAGTAACAAGCCAAGAAGTGGTTACCCGTCCTTGTGTACCTTCCTCCATCTACCTCCATCTTATCCGTAATCACTCATCAACTCCCATGACAGTACCACCTCCGAAAAAGCACATACATATGAAGGACCCGCCAGGCGTCAGAGACAGAAATTGATGGATTGGATCTGGGGGCCGTGTAACAGAAATGCCAGATGCCAAGTGGGAAACCCAAGACATGTTCTAATCTAGCTTTTAAGTTGTATACTTCCGGCGAAACACGTGCTGACAGAGAGCTTTTACCAAGAGATGCATGTCTCGAGTATGGTAGTACGTTGTACCAAAAATATGTAAGAATGGATGGATGTATGGATGGATGGTGTTCACGTGCAAAGTGGAAGCCATTGAAGCTGGTGATTTGTAGTGTCCTAACTTTGTGCAAAAAGTCAAGGCAAGGCAAGACACATGATCACGCAGCTTAATTTAATTTTCAGGTGAATAGAGTACACTCGGGTATAACCTTTACACATAGGTTGAAAGGTGTCACGGTAGTAAGACTTGAGAAGATCCGAGGTCGGTATTTAGGTATTGTGGCAGCACTGACAGGTAAGTAAGTAACTCATTGCACATTGTCGGAGGTAACCGAAGCAGATCTACCTTAGCTAGAGTAATCGGACGGGGAACGAACGAAACCTGGAAGCGGCGAGGAAAAACGAAAAGCGGAGGAAGAAGAAGGAAGGAAAGAGAAGCCGGCCGACCACGCCTACCTCTACCTCCCATCTAGAGACCCACGAAACTGGATCGTGACTGGACTCGGAATATGAAAGGAAGAAAAGATGGGATTGGGGCGAACGAGTTTCACCGATTCCATTCTCACGTGGCTTTTTCTTTTTTTCATGGGACAAGATGGATGGATGGCTCAGAAAGAAGTATGTATGTAGTATGTAATTTGTACTGCACAATTTGAAATCGCTACCTCGAAAAACCCCGGAAATACGTTTTTCATGACAAACTTCCGTCTTACCAATTGGAAATTTACCTTGCACCGATTACCCAATGCTCAGATGCACGACAGAGCAAGGTACAGGTATAGTATTTAGAGTTGGCAAACGTGTCTCTGTTCGTGACTGACACAAGAGTGAGTGATTGTAACGGATTACCCTAGCTAAGGTAAGGTAAGGTAAGGTAGTTTGGTTGTAGGTACACTACATCATCCTCTTCCGAAGTCCGAAGTCCGGGGTCCCGGCGAGTTTGCCCACACACACTGCAGTGAGGTATACAAGTACATAATGGCCCTGCAAGAGTTCGGAGGATATGTAAACATCCGGCTTGGTACCTATGAATGATTATCAAGAAAGAGATTTCCTCTGAGGCTGTCATCCGAGTTTCACTTGCATCTGTTTAGTTTAATCTTCGAGCATGAACTTGAGGATGTCATAGCGTGGATATATGTGGACACTAGCTTGTGGGAAATTCACTTAGTTCCATCGGTCCGCTTTGCACGGCCACAATCGATCGGTCTGTCTGGACTCTGGAATGTCGAGCAAGATCCGGGGAAGGCGAGCGGGGGACAAGGCTGATCCCGTACTAAAAAGCTCTTTTGCCTCATTTGTGGAGCTTTTGGTTTGGCTTGGTGTGTTTTGGATCTCGACGACACGTAATGAAACGCCAAGTTGCGGAGTTGATGATGAAGTGAGAAGGGTTTGAAAAAGTCAAGGGTGCATGCATAAACGTATTGCCCATCATTGTTGTAGATCTTTTTCTTGGTCAAATTTCCATACCTTACCTGTCATCCCGCATCTACCCCGTTTTCATCCCAATTAATGACTTCAGTGAGAGTTCATCTCAATGACTTCAATAAGAGTTCATCTCAATGACTTCAATGAGAGTTCGTCCCATCCCATCCCATCTGGTCGGTATGGGATGACTGTGACTGCCGACATTAACCGCCTATAAGTATCTTGCTCTGTAGTAAATCAAAGCAGTGAGTCAGTCTTCCATGTCTGGGATATGACACATATTTGTAAGGTTAAGATTCAAACACGACAAAAACAATACAACACAACACAACACAACACAACACAACACAACACAACACAACACAACACAACACAACACAACACAAGATCTTGGCCCCTCTTCCGGTCTCAGACATAGAGAGTACAAAGATCTTGGCTCACTATATATACATATATACTCTGTGTGTATGTGTGTAGAGCTCGCCGTGCCCGACTGCTCGGCACCAGCCACCAAATTCCAACCAGAATACCAGATCAAACCTCGTGGTCAATCTCAGACAAATGATAGGTAGGCTGCTGAGACCACTTCATCATTCATTTCATTCCTGGGTGCTTCCTATAGATTACAGACCATAGACTAGAGAGAGAGAGATAAGAAGCGGCATCAGTTCGGTCGTCTTGATTTGGATTTTCGAAAGTCGCGGATGGGTGTATACATAGATAAGGTAGATAGAGGTATAAGGCAAGTAAGTAATCCAAATCCCGTGTCCGATCACGGGAACCTTAAACCATGTGGTGCAGTTGAAGTTGTTTAGCCTACCAACTTACCTACCTACCCAGACACATACAGTGCTTATCTTGCACAAGCATACGTGGGGGTCTATGAACAAGCTTGACAAGAAAAAAATCAAGAAAGGGAACAAGGTCCTACTGGCTGGCTGCATTGTTGCATTGTTGAGCGAGCGGCGGCAGCGGTGATCAGGGGGTGGCTTTCCCGTTTCTCTCCCGTTTTGAATGGGCCATACTATCGTGGGGGTGGTATTGGGTGTACAATACTGTGTAGTGTATGCATGTAAGTAGTCGGATGTGTGAGCAGACGGGTAAGGAAACACCCAGAAACCAGTAAGCAAGGGGGAGGAGATCTACTGGACTGACTCCGATTGATGGACGGTGACAGTGACAGTGACAATGACAAGATGGGAGATCATTGAGGCTGTGCATGCGAGATTGCGAGACCTGGGTGTACAGTGGTAGTTTAGTTAGCTTGTTGAGCTTGTCCTTCCCGTCCGTCACTTGTCACGCTCGGCTCTGCTCCGTGCTCTCCATGTTCTCCATGCTGGCCATGGATCTAGAGATCCAATCCGGGAAAGGGTGTGAGCGTATGTAGTGTAACTGCTGTGTACGTACTTCGTACCGCCATTCATGGTACACAGTAAGCCCTGAGGCGGCTGAAGCTGGTATACCGAAAGGGTAAACATTCTCCTTTCGATCTCTTTCTCGTCATTCTGTATCCATATTAGGCATTGTGAAAAGGAGACGGGGTGAAACGAGCGGATTTCCAAGCAAGGCGTGTGATCGGCTGGATCATGATGACTTCCTCTTTCTTTCTGCTTCCCTTTCCCAAAATTGAACATGGCAATCTAAAATCCCAACCCAACCATGGTCCTGTGGTCGATCTCACCGCTAATGAGATCCGAGCCCAACTATCAAATCCCAGACAGCCAAGGACGGCCAAGCAAAGGCCCAGAGAAAGCCAAGAGCCAGGCCGCGTACAGCACCCGATCAACAAGCTAGAAACCTTCTCACGGAAAGTAATGTACGTATTGGTCATTCCGTTTCGGAATGGGCTAGACTGAGGACGTAAGGCTGGTCGTGACGTGACTAGGGGATACCCGTATATCGCATAAAGAGATGCGTTTGACTTGCACGTAACCGATATCGCTGATCCTACTGCACAGTCTGATATTAGTTCGAGTCTTCTGCCCAAAGTCAAACTTTATTACCTGTTATCTTTCTAGTGTAGCTTCCGGTCTTACTCCAAAGTCTTGTCCTTTTCTTGGTATAATTTGTCCCGGGTCCTTCCCGTCCTTGGTCTTCGGAGGCGGCCTGACGGTCTCTTACCTACCTCCACGCTCCCTAGCTGCCGAAAACCATCATCCATGTCTCTCTCCTACCTTGATAATCGCTTTGAAACCGGAGTGATAAAAGTCAGCGCTTCTATAAGCCCCGTGCGTCTATGGCGTCGTTTCTTGGCTTCCGAGTGAAAATGTGCTCTGCCGGTGGTTGTGCTTCCAGGCCGCCCTGCACCGCAGTATTTATCGGGACCAAAAGCTGACCTCTTCCGTGTCCCGTCCCTTGGCGGCGCTCTCGGCGAAAACAAACAACACGGAGCGGAAAAGCTCGAGATGCAATCAACAATGGAAACCTGGCATGCTCTCCTCGCTCCTTCTTCTTCTTTCTAATCCGGTACCTCCCTCATGCTTTCAATTACTGTGCCCTTCCGGCTCGGCCAACCTGCAAAATCTCACCTGTTGGCCGGTCATCGCTGCGTAGCACCGGCCAAGAGCTGCCGTCTGCCTTCCACAACGTAACCTCCAGCTTGGTGCCGAGGATCTTGAAGCTTGACTTGTCAGGGACGATGGACCCAAAGAGCGGCACCTCCGTCTTGTACCGTTTTACGGGGCTGTCTGTCGTGGGCAGGTCGAGGTCGATGGCGTTGGGCTTGAACTCGACCGTGGCGACGTCCTTGTTGATCTTCTTGAGGAAGAAAGATGCGATGACTGACGTAGGGGTCTGGTAGAAGTCGGTCCTGTAGAGCAAACACGGGTCAGTTGAGCTGCAGTGGAATGGCAGGATCAAGGAGATGAAGATGGGAAAGATTGTTTGCAGGGCACAGCCATGCTTGGCCGGCCTTGGCTGCGAAACAGCACTATAACGGACGGAACTTACCTGACCGTCTCCAAGATCTCCTCGCCTCCTGATGCGGCCGCAGCCTCCTTCTTCCCGCTGCCGACAAACAAGTGCCGATCTTTGGTCTTGCAGCCCTCGATCTTCATGAACTGGTCGAACTCGAGGACGCGGCGCTTGCAGCAGCTGTAGCCCTTGCTTCCCTCGTGGAAGATGGGAGCGCCGGGGTGGTGTACACACTTCTCGCCCTCTCGGCTGGCGCCCTTCTGGTAGGCCGCGCCACAAGTCTTTCTCCTGCACACGCGACCCTCCGGGATCTCGATTCCTTCTTCGTCATCCTCGGATTCTGGCGCCGGCGGCGGAGGTGTGGGAGCATGTTGCGCAACGGGCACGGGGGCACGGGGTGGTGGCGGGTTGGCAGCGTTGGCGGCCTGGGCCTCGAGCAGTGATGGATCGACCTCCTTCTTCTCGATCTTGGGAGGGGTGTCGGTAGTACTGTGCTTGCCTTCGGTGCAAGGCTCAATGGTCATGAACTCCTCGAAGGTGAGCACACGCGGCTTGCAGCACTTCCATCCTAAGCAGTCAATGTGCGTCAGCCGGGGTTATCTCTACACTCCGTCGAAATTTGAACCGAACCGAACTGGACATTACATACCCTTCTGGCCTTCGTGGAAAACAGGGGGTCCAGGGTGGTAGCGGCAGACCTCCTCGGGGTCGGTGTAGACCTTGCCGCAACCTTGATGGACGCACTTCTTGGCCTCGGACATGGTGGATGTTAAGCTGCTACTATCCAATTATGCAGGTGTGAGAACCTTGAAAGCCGGCCCACGCAGATTCGCTCGACGTAATAGTAATGTGCTGTCGGAAAGATCAAAAAAGTGTTGACTATATTGACAGAAGGGTTGGTCGTCGCTGGTCCAACGTGAACAGGAGGAGGGGCGTGAGGTGGTTTGTCTACGAAATAAAATGGAGTATGAGATGGGCCTCGTTGTGCTTGGAAGCTTCCGTCAGAAGAGCGTGGAACATTCAAGCTTTCTACAGCATCAGCGGCTTCCTGTTCCAGCGTGTGCCAATTCCTAAACAGTCGCTCGCTTGTGCCAACGGCGGGGTGCCACTGCCGGGAGCGCCGTCGGGCTGAGAAGTGGGGCTGGGGAAGCCATCCCAGGACCGTGAGCTCGGGCCCTACTGTTGTTGCTACAGTGGTTGCCGCACTCTGTCGTGTTGGCGCGTACAGTGGGTGTACCCCCGGCAGGCAACGTACCCTATTTGCAAGCGTTATGTCCGACTTCAACATCATCCGATTGAGTGGAAGATCAATACAACACATCCAAACCCCATCATACCCTCTTAACTGTGGTAACTTCAAAAAAAGCTAAAAGACACAAAATGCGGATTACTGGTTGGCTCTTTCAATCTTTTTCTTCACGGATCACCTTCTTCAGGCGTGAGGGCTGTGGTCTATGTGTCCAGGCAAGATCTGTCTTGTCCGATGTATGGGACCGCCGGCCGTTCGAATACAAGGAAGTCGACATTGTCAAGCCGGAATCCAAGGCCTGGAGAGATCTTTATGATTTTGACGTTCCTGTGGTGAGTTCTTTTCTCACTCGTCGAACCTTCACCTGCATGTGAACGAACACTCAGTAACATCTTTACAGATTCACATCAGCAAGGCTCAAGCCCCAGAAGAAGACCCGAAGCTCTCATCCAAGGCCGTCAAGTTGATGCACCGCTTCACGGTCGAGCAGGTTGAAGCCAAAATGGATCAAGTCGAAAAATCATGAGAGAAGCCAGTCCTATTATTGGCACCTGTCTATGTCGATACCACTGCCTCATTCTCGTTAATAAGATACTGGCTTGTCTTGCTTCCCTTGGCCGCGGGCAATGGTTAGGCTGTCCGCCATCGCAGCTCCCAACAATGTGTAATCCGTTGCGACACTGATCATGTGGAATCCCTTGTCGGCATACTGTTTGGCCTGCTCTCCGTCCGTGCAGAAGATGCCGCACTTCTTGCCCGCCGTTACGGCAGCCCTCAGGGTCCTTTCAATCGCCTCATCCAGCTCCGGGTCCATTTTCCCCTCGATGATGGGGTGGCCAATATTGTTACCCAAGTCAAAAGGTCCAATGAAGATGACATCCACAAGCAGAGCTATCTCTTCAACCGAGTTCAAAGCTTCCTGCGTCTCGATCTGCACCATAGTCAAGAGGCTCCCGTTCGCTTGCTGGAGATATTCGGTGAAGGTTGGCATGGGGTTGAAGTTTTGCATGGCAATGGGCGATCCAAACCCTCTCTTGCCTTCTGGGGGGAACTTTGCTGCGGTAACCAAGTTCTTGACATCCTCCACTGTCCTGATGAGCGGTGCAAGGATCTATAACCCGTCAGTCATTGGTTCACGTCTAATACAGTGATGCACTTACTCCATGAGCACCGCTGTCCAACGCTCCTGTATAAGGGATATATATCATTAACTGTCCAAACTGGCAAGACGATTTGAACGGCACTCACGCTTGACCATCCACGGCTGAAGGTCTGGGATTCGGACAATGGGAGAAACACCCAGGGCAGCAATGGCCGGAACTGCTTCATGCATCGCAGCATCTGACCAGTATCATTCAGCTCAACAAGCCCCATTATTTACCCACCATGTCCCCGGTTACCTACCGTTAATGTTGCCATGCTCGCAGTCCACCATCACCCAATCAGCCCCTGATCGAGCGAGAATCCTCGAGATATTAGCACCAGGGAGCATTTGCCAGACACCCATAGCAGGGCGGCTCTCCTGGGAGAATATTTGCTTCAACGGATTGGCCGTCAGCATCTTGGAAGTTGGGTTACCGGAAGACATTGCACGAATTTGATAAGCCGGGATAGCAAAAGGAGGTTTGTTCAATGCAATGATATGAGGTCTCAAGAATCTTGAAGTACGAAGGAAAGAGTAGGTACGTCGAGTCATCGGAGACATATGTAGGTGGAAGCTCAGACTAAGTAATCCCGAAGGCTTTCGGGCGAATCCAATGACGCTTTGAAATCCAAGATACACTATAACATGCAGCTCTGAACCGATACCCGGGCGCCAAAAGCTCGAGGGCGTCTGAAACGACCTGACAGCAGATGGCGAGAGAAGGCGCCGAGTGCGTCAGTGGAGATATTCACCAGCTGGCCAGTTGGTGCACCTTCGGGAGATGTTCGTCCCCCCGCGTTCGTCTAAGAGATCGGGCGGGGTTACCTACCATTGCGGGGTTAGCGGTTGTTATGCCCTCCGCATTCGGTTCTACCTAGGTAGGCTGTCCTGTCTGCCACGAGAGTTCTCGCTGGTCACGGTATACAAGATGTAACTGTCATCAGAGTGTTGAGGATCATCGAGCAGGGGACAGGCAGGCTGAGATGGTTTTAATTCCATCCGTAGAACTCTCACAAGCAACACGTGAACGTTGACAGCTGCATCTTGCCCCTGCTTTACTTGTAAGCTCCCACGTAATTTAAATAAGGCCCTTGGAGACTGCCGCGAACCAGTATGAGAAGATTAAGAGAGAGAAAGCTCTGTGCTCCTGCTAGTAAAGGCATATGATGATCAAGGCCACTATTCAAGGAGGAGCTGAGAGTATATGGTGGTTGACAACCTGACCTCACCCCAAAATGGATAGAAGTAAACAAAGCAACACCCGCAAAGGAAAAGGGGTTAACCAACCAGGCGTGCACCAGATTTTGCGGCAGGCAATTAAGTGGAGAACGGGTCCGCTTGAGAAGCTCCAACCTCGCTCCACTGACAGTCTGCTGCCGTGAGCCGTCGTCCGTCAGTGTGATCTTGGCTTGGCGATTCTATCAAAAGAGAAGCTCCAGCTTCATGGCGACGTTCTTGACCTTGTCCCATCCCCCACGATTTGTTCACCCATCCCAATCCCTCAAGCATTACGTATCCACTTCTTCGTCTTTGACGCGGCGCGCCGACGTACCTGTTCCTCTTTCGCGATCATTAGTTCGAACGAGAAAACGAAAAGAAAAACATCAATAACGACGAAACCCAATTGCACTTTTGAGAACCGACGAACGACGACGAACTACCTAAATCACACGAAGTGAACAAGCTGCCCTCGAGTTGAACCGACGGACGACTTTGTATCTTGCGACTGCATACGTACCCCCTCACTCGAATCAATACTCCTTCGAGTTTGAACTTGGGCTTTAGGAATTAGCTTTAAGCATCTGTCACGGCGGTCTTGGGCCCGCGCATCGCTGCCAGTACCTACCGAACAACACGTCGCAAAACACAAATAACACCCAATTCCATCATTCATCATGTCGGCGGGCTTGGTAAATTCGTATCTTAACAGTTGGTCTTCCCCTTTCCGTCCTAAACGCCTTTTGCTTTCACCAGGCGCAAGAGCGATTGGTCATGGCATCTCAGGCTTCAAGAACAACAAGAGACCGGAAAAGCTAACAGATCTATTTCCACTTACTTCAGAAAGGGTCTGCATAATCACAGTCGATGGCCGCACCCTAGTAGGCACACTTATCTCGGTGGACATGAGCACGAATGTGGTCAGTACCAATCCAATCCCCTCCCGTTAACTTCCCCGTCCCGCGTTTACCTTCGGCTTGTCTTCTTACCTTCCCATGCCTCGGCAAATATATCAACCAAGCTAACAACACCCCACGAATAAAAGTTCCTACAAAGAGCAGTAGAACGAGTCATCCGCTCCCCCGACGACGACGAACCCTCGGCCGAGATCGAGCTGGGAACGCACATGATCCGCGGTGACACGGTCTGCCTGGTCGGGCTGGTGGACGAGCCGCTGGACGCGAGCATAGACTGGACCAAAGTCAAGGGGTCGACGATCGGGACGACGAAGCATTGAGAATATATCATCACGAAAATACATCACGGCTCGGTCCTGCAACTGCTCGTGCGTTATGGGCGCGCTGTGGATAAAGGGTTCAGTTGGTCCGGTGCGCACTTCTGCGTGGGCCGTGGTATCACGTTTCCGAAATTTTTAGAAAGAGGAGGCAGGAGAGGGAGACGAGAGAAAAGATCAAGCGAGAGGTATGTGGTGGGCGCAGATACTTCACACATAAAAGGGCAACACAGGTGGGTGGTGGGCGTGGGCATAAGATTCGGTTGCATCATCATCAAGGGTGGGTGGGCATTTGGCACGCGGAGCTACACAGGTTTTTTCTTTTCTTTTCCCACAATTTGGTATGCCCAATCGATGACTCTTTTTTTCCCCTGTGTATTTCCCTGTTCAGACCCTATGCTGACACATTGAGGGAAGAAGAAAAACTAGACAAGGCGAATATTGAATTTCAGATACCCCCAGATTTTAAAGACTCCCCGTGGAATAGGTTCGCTTCTCATACACAAAAAGAAGAAGAGAAAAGCAATGCTATCCAGCAGATTTTAACCAAATAGCCTATCCATCAAGATGGCGGCAAACTTCTCGTCGCCGGGCGTCTTGACCATCCTGTTGATCCTGTTGCCCTTGTTCACGCTCAGCCAGCCCATGTCGTCTCCGGGGACCTCGTCGAAGGTGGTCGCATCCAGAGGGTCCGACGGGTGCGTCTCCACCTTGCTTGACTCCTCACCCGGCTTCGCCCTCTGTCGCCTGTCGACCACGTGCATGCCCCTGGTCCACTGGCCGGAGGTCTCGATTCTGATATCCTCCGGCTTTGGTACGGGTGTCCATGCAGGATCGTCCTGAGTCAGCATGTACCAAATGCACGACGGGTCGTGAAGGGACAGGTCGGGCTCGCTGCCGTCGCCGAGCATGGTTTCGACCTTGTTGAAGATACCCGTCATGAAGGTTTCGATCCACAGCGCAAGCGGGCTGCCAGACTGGGTAATGGGCTGGATGGTCTTGTAGAAGTAGTTCTTCCTCAGCGCGAGTGGGGTGGTGATGTCGAGAGGGAAGAGGGTCAGCTTGAGCTGCTTGGAAAGCTTGGCGGGGTAAGGAGGCAAGACCGATTTGCCGTGGATGACGGGGGGCATGGTCGAGGCCGGGTTGGGCGAGGTCAGGGCGTAGACGCGGGCGGCGGCAACGGTGTCGGCGTAGCAGTTAAACTCGGCGACGGGGGTCACGTTGCCCTCGACGTTGACGGCACCGCCCATGATAACAAGCTCCTT